ACAGTGGGGGCCCTAAAGCTCCTCTCCCTCTCTCTTGGTGTTTGGCCCTCAGGGGAGCGGTTACCTAAGCCAGAGCGGGGCAAGATGAGAGTGCACAAAATCAACAATGTGAACAAAGCACTGGACTTCATCGCCAGTAAAGGAGTCAAGCTGGTCTCCATCGGGGCGGAAGGTGAGCTTGGATGGGGCCCGACCTCTGCCTTCTGAACAGAACTTGTGTTGGTGCTTGGGGATGTTTAAAGCCTCAGATATACCCAGTGACTGCCCTTAATGGTGCACCCCACCCCGACACACACACACACACACACTCTCTCTCTCTCTCCCCAAGACTGGGGAATCCAGTATGCCCAGTCATGTGGCACAGGCTTCTTGCATGGGGGAGGAATGGCTTTGACTCGGACCCTGGACACCCTCACTCACCCTCCTCGTGCTGGACCCTAGGGTCACAGACTGACTGTGACATGGCATCTCTCTGTGCCAGGAGTACCTTCACCCTTAGGCCCTGCCTGGTGTCTGTGGGCGAGAAGGGCACTCCAGGCCTGGTGTCAGGGCTCTGGGGCAGGGAGTGTGAGTCTAAAGGTCAGTAGCTAGACTTTGCTGGCTACACAGCCTGGGAGAGTGTGGTCTTTTGAGTGGATACCCAGGGTCCCCTGGGCCCCGTGCAGATACCCGGGACTGTGACCCCTTACTCCAGGCCCTCACTGGAGCAGCAGTGTGCTGGAGTGCTGGCCCTCCAGCTGCAGGCTCTTGTCTCCAGCTCACAGGCGCCTTTGGAGACTAGGTGAGGCCTGATGGAGCCCAGAAGCTCCCCATCAGCCTGGGCTTCCAGTTCTGCTCATTAGAGCAGTTTCCTACGCCTGACATCCATGTTGTCCCAGCTTTTAGAAAAACAAAGAAAACTAATTGCCATTAATGACAGGGCTCTGAGAGTTTGGCCAAGACTCCAGGCTAGAATACACGTACCCTGTTCCAAGGCTCTGCCCCCGCCTGGGACCTCTCCGGGGCAGGGTGCCAAGGCTCGCATGCCACAGTCAGTCAAGGTGGTTGGTGGTGTTTTTTTTCGTTTTTGTTTTTTAAATCAAAACCCTGAATTCAATCAGACCCTGAGATTTTTTTGTCCTTCCATGGATCTTTCCTCCTGGCTCCCCTCCACCCTTCTGCTTCTCACAGCTGCATTTATTTTGCTCAAATGCTCACCTGTAAATAAAGAAGGGGTTAGAGGAGAGACCCATGGCAGTCATTAGTTTTCATTTGGGGAAAACCTCCGTCTAAAAATTTTCTCTGTTCATGCCCAAACTGGTTCACTCCCCATCCCTGTGACCATCCAGCCTCCGGAGAGCAGCTGACTGGAAAAGTCCCAAGGGCTTTGGAATACCCGAGAGCCCCAGCCCCCACCCGCCCCCATCTCCCTGTCCCCCAACACCATCTAGGCAGTTGCAGGAACATGGCTCCCTGGTGGGGGCTGTGAGAGCGGACAAGAGTCGGAGGCACAGCTGCAGGCCCGAGTAGCAGCTGGTGGGTGTGTCATGAGAGCGGCCGTCTTCCTCTCCTCACAGGAGCTCTCTGAGCCCCCCATGACCAGCTTGCTTGTGGCACCGGCTGGGTATGGGCGCTGCGGCCTCCTCTCCAGATGGTACCCGTCCCTGGCTCTGGGGTGCCTGGCCCTCAGGAGGAACGCAGTGTAGAGTTCCTGAATGAATCACCGCCTTTGCCCCATGCTGGGAAGGCTTGGCCTGGTTTCCGGGTGTGGGGTTCTTAGGCCCTGGGAAAGGGCTGGACAGACATCGTGTCCTTCCCTTGCCTCCTGGCAGCCAGCTATGCATATTTCCTCATCCTGAAACCCTAAAGCCAAAAGCTGCCCTCAGCCATCAGCTCCATGACTTCGCTGTGGCGAGCTTCTCATGGGGCTAAAAGAGCCCTTCCCCTTTCCTCACAGGTGTGTCCTCACGAAAGGTTGGGGACCACTCTACCTCCTTCCCAAATCAAGCCCACCTAGAGTTTTCTGCTCTCGAGGCCGGTGAGCAAGGTCTCCGGAACTGTGCCTCCCTGTCCTCTCTCCTCACATCCAGTGTGTGAGATGCGTAGGGGTGAGAGGCCTCAGAGGACAGCCAGACGTATGTCCAGGCCACGGTTTCCGGGATGAGGCCACTTCTCTCACCCGGCAGTAGACACACATGCCCGAGTGCTGCAGAGGTGATTTTTCTCTTACGTTGCTGAAGCTGAAGAATGTATGGTCCAAACCCTTCTCTCTCACTCCCAGAAGTTTGAGAGAGTGGTTGGTTTTCAGTTCGTTAAGAAAGCACTCATTTATCAGCCAGACCATGTGTCTCCTCTCCCCTTCTTACACATCATGTCTTTCTGAAGGGCCCGGTCCAGGCACTGGGGGTGCATTGATCACGAGGGTAGACCGTGAACAAGCGAACAACCCAACAAATGTCAGTGTGAGGGGAAGGGCAGAATGTGGGAAAGAGAGGCACCGGCGTGGTCAAGGGAACCGTTCTGGGGAAGTGACATATAAGCAGAGGCTTACAGCATGGGAAGGACCAGCCGTCTGAGGGAAGTATCCAGGGGTGCACTTCAGGGCGGGGGTATGACAGGAAGTGTGAAATCCTTAAAGCAAGAAAGAGCTGGCTTGCTGAAAGGATGCAGCTAGAGAATGCTGAGGAGGGAGGGGCCGGGTCACCCAGGACAGGCCTTACACGCCGAACTCCGGAACATGGGCCTGTTTCAGGCGTAGCCGGGCTTTCAGCAGGCGAGTGGCACAAATCTGAAAAAGCGACTGCCCTCACTGCTGCGTGGGGGTGGGTAACGGGGGATGGAGGAGGCGGCGGCTTGGACGAAGGTGGCGGCAGTGGGGTCGGAAGGAAGCGGACAGACTCTCCACAGAGACCAGTGCAGCACACCCCCGCTGGCGGGGAGGCATGCCCACAAAGATGTGATGGGGGCTGAAAACGCAGGGCCCAGTTCCTGGGAAAAGGCCAGGGTGGCCGAGAACACGTGTACAGAAGCCTGGAGACACTAAGCAGCAGAAGACTTTTGGGACAGCACTTCTCAGAGTGTCCAGCGGACACCTCCCAGTAAGGATGGTGGAGGGCAGCAGGCCTGGGCGGCTCTGTCCTGTGATTGGAATTAATCCCTAGATAGCTGGAGACCACCTGGGGAGTCTCACTCTGGTTTTAACAAACTTCTCGCCCTCTGCCCCCTTTCCCTGCATGCAGAGATTGTGGATGGCAATGCAAAGATGACCCTGGGAATGATCTGGACCATCATCCTCAGGTTCGCCATCCAGGACATCTCTGTGGAAGGTAAGAGCCGAGAGCCCACTGACCAGCGAAGAACAACCTTTTCTCCCCACTCTGCTTCCACCCGAGTTGAGAGAAGTTAAATTAGGATTTCGGGCATTTTGTCTTCATGCTTCAAGGCTCTTTTCTATTTGCGGGTGTCACTCCCAGGGCCCGGCCCTGCAGAGGGGTGGTTAGTGGAGGTGCTGGCCCAGGCTGCAGATGGAGGGGGTCCCTGCTGCAGCCGACCAGCTCTGGTATCCACGCAGAGCACTTTTGCTCTTTCAGCTTCCCTCTCAGAGACCCTCACACCACCCTTGTCAAGCGGGCATGATTGGCCCCATTTTACAGTCAAGGAACTGTGGAGTCACCAAGCAAACTGTTGATAGATTCAGGTCTGGTCTCATTCTCTTGGGGGAGAGCGCTTGCTTTCACTCAGCCTCCCACCCTCGGACCTTTGCCTCTGTGGACCTGGAGTCAAGTCCAGGTGCCACAGAATGAGAAAAGCCACTGAACCAGTGTGTGGAGGGGGCTGCTGGCGACAGGCCACAGCAGCGACCAGGACCGACATGTTCCCTGCCCTCATAGCACTCCTAGTCAGAGCTGTCCACAGGGAGTAGAGGGACCTCCTAAGACCCTGCCACTCTGCTTCTTTGAAACTGCAGCCAGGTCTGGAGACCTTGAGGGCGCTGGGCCCTTGGCCAAGTCTTCATTCTATTCAGAAGAGGCCAGGCCACATCAAAGACTTATTTGGCTGTGTCTCCCAGCAGTTAAAGGCATAGGCTTTGTGGTCAGAAATATGGCTCAGGTTCAGGCCCTGATGCTGTCCTGTCACTGCCACTTCCTGGGGTGACACTGGACAAGTGCCCACTCCTGGGGGCCTGGCATGCCGGTCGTGGTGAGGATCAACAGAGGCCTGCCCGTATCGAGTGGGAGGACTGTTGCTACTGTTTCTGTCTGAGGACCTCTCCCCCAGGTTCCGTCTGACCTTTACGCCTGAGCTGAAAGTGTGATCCAGCTGGACTGGGTTCTGAGCGTTCAGTTTTGAGCCAGTGCTCACTGTCCTCATGTGTTTTGCAGAGACCTCTGCCAAGGAAGGGCTCCTTCTGTGGTGCCAGAGAAAGACGGCCCCATATAAGAACGTCAATGTGCAGAACTTCCACATCAGGTGAGCTGAAGCACCCCGCCCACGTCAGGCCCATGCTTCTTCCCAGGACCTGAGACACTGCCTTCCCATCTGCCCTCTTTTCCTGTGGTTTTGTTATGGTCTGTGAGATGCAAGCTCTCAGGGAGCCATCCCCCTGCCCTGACCCCCATGAACCCCTTGGAAGTTCCCATGCATATTCTGGGGCAGGCAGCAGTTGGCCTTGCCGTCCCCGGCTGAAGGTGTTAAGAGCCATCACTCTGGCAGGCCTTTTAGAATCTTCCTTCTCCCCAGGCAAGGTAACTCAGAAGCAACAACAAACTCTTCCTTTATTTTGACCTCTCAAGAGGGACTCGTCCTTTAGAGCTGCTAGTGAATTTAGTGCTGGGGAAAATGCACTGTGTCCACTTGGCCTGTCACAGGTCTGCTCTCCCTCAGGCGAGAGAGGGAAATGAGTGTGTCCAGGAGCGTGGCATGGCCTGGGGGTTAGGAGCACAGGCTTTAGGGGCGGCCCTGAGTTCAGATCTGGTCTAGCCCTGTGACTTCACCCCTCTGAGCCTCTGGTGTCCTCCTCGGGTAGATGGACCAGGCAGAGGGCACACAGGGGAATGAAGAATGGGGCCTCGGGATCCACAGAGGTCGTCCTGTGTCCTCGGGCTCCCCGGGGCCCTGGCACTGGACTTTGGGGACCATTGTGTTCTACCATGAATAGCATGTGGTCCCTCCCTTGTTCTCTCTGTGTCTCCTTCCTCTTCCTGCCACCAGCTGGCTGGTCCTGTGTGCACTTCTCATTCCTTTAT